TTAGTGTAGTGGACTTGTTATTTCCTGTGTTGTGGGCACCAGAACTGTTTCTTCTTAGTATAGAACTAAGAACGAGACTGGGAACACCAGGGAAGTTTTGGTTCTAATTTCTTTGAAACTTCCCTCCCATTCTATCAGGAGGTGTCTTCTCCGTACATCGAGTTGCCCTTGTACGCCGACATAGTTGAAAATCTTAATTACCACTGTCGTAGGTGATATCCATACTTGTTGCCACAGTGATTCGTGTGTTCTTTCAATACAACTGTTGTATTCCACAAGTATCCATTTGCAGGGGACGGCTTGTATCCACTACGACCTCCTAAAATATTTGTAGAAGGAAGCCCATTGCTTCTGCATCATAACTTCCACCCTTTTCCGCAATCTTCGGTGGTTATTGTACTTTGTTTGACCTCGTAGGGATCGCGTAGGAGATATTTGTAACTTTGGCCCACAGTGGTTCGATGGTGTTTAAGATATGCCTACTGTTGTTATCACAAGGGACTTGTACATATTTATGGGAACCATTGTAGCCACTACGCAGCTCCTGGAATTGTTCGTAGGGACCTTGTTGCCTACATCATTGCCCACCTATCACCAATCTCAGTGGGTTTTTGGTGTATTTGCATTTGTTTGTAGGTCGTAGGTTTGAATGCGTAGGAGCGTTCTAAGCTGTAGATTGTGGCATTTGCATTTGTCGTGTTATTACTGAATACATTCGTAGGAGGTGTTGTAGTTTGATTGGCTGTCGAATTTGACTCAAGTTGAGTCCAGTTCGAATCAACCTCCTGAGCTCGGTGTGCATAGTTGTTCTTTGTCCCTTGTAGTCGGGCGAGTCTTGTTATAATTTTAGTGTCTTCCGCACTTTAGTAAATTGAATTGAGCCCGAGTGTATATTTCAAATGATTCATTCAAATCTTTTGGAGTATTTGCAGGCTCATTTTTCGTGTTCAAATGATTTTGAATTTTGATCCAAATTTGGTTTTATTTTATTTGGATTGGTCCTTTAGAAATCATTTGAATTTTGATTCTGATTTAGGTTCCCAAGTCCACTTGTTCAAGTTCTAATGAGTTCCACTGCTCGTTCTTTTGAGTTCAAAAAGTCCACAAGGTCATTGTTCTTTGGAGTCCAGGCTCTTGTTCTTTTGAGTTCAAACAGGTCCGAGTGTGATCGTTACATTCACTCCGAAATTTCGGCAGCCTCCCGGCGTATCCCCGTTTAGAGGAAAACTATGAGAAAACTGAGGCCTTCCCACCACGCGCAATAAAAGGCGTGCATGGTAGGTGCCCTCTTTTCGAGGACACCGCGGCCGTGATTTTTCTTCCCACCACGCGTAATAAAGGCGTGCATGGGGTCTTTGACGGTACCTGTTACAAGAAAAGAGCAGTTTGCTTCCCCCACCCCGCCCGGGGGTACTTATGAATTTTCTCGGTTACGCAAAGAAAAGAGTACACCAGGCTCACCTGGCCTTGTCATGTGCGTCGAACCGGTTTCCCTCCTACACGCCTCACATAAAGGCGTGCTTAGGTGGTTTGGTCGGCTCGCACGCATGTCGAGACAGGAGGGCGAGGGTCGCTTACTTACCTCGTCGTAGAGTCGCACACGGTTCCCTCCTACCAGCTCACCAAAGGCGTGCTTAGGTGGTCCGCCGGCTCGACACGCACGTCGAAGTAGGAGGGCGAGAGGGGAAGCGACTGTCCGCCTCGTCGTAGGCGTCGGACCGGATTCCTTTCCTAACAGCCAACAAATGGCGTGCTTAGGTGGTCTACCGGCCCGTCGTACACGCCGAGGACGGAAGCCTGAGTTTAGGGATTATATCTTCGGGGCCGGTGGACCGGCGGTGGAGTTGGCTCGGAAGTCGAGGCGGAGAGGAGCAACCATTTTTTTTATTAATTATAATTAATATCAATTAATTATAATTAATTAAGAAATTATTTTAATTAATTATTTATAATTAACTAAAGGTAATTCTAATTAAAGTTAATTATAATTAATTAGATTAATTATAACAACTTAATTAAAATTAAGCATAATTAATTATAATAAATATAATTAATTAAAAACAATTGTTATAATTAATTAAAATTATAACATATATAATTAATTAAAAATAACTATTGTAATTAATTAAAATTAATTAAAATAATTATAATTAAATATAAAATATTACCTTTTTTTTCTAACGGATTAGGTCGAAGATCGTGAAAGGGAGAAAGTTAACCTTCACAGCGAGCGTGCTCCCGTTGTTTCTCCGATCAAAATGTGTAACTTCCGATCCTACTTGAAGGGAAAGTCGATGGAGGAGCGAAGCCGAACAGCTCTGAAGGAGCAGGAGGAGTGACGAGCTCCCGTTGTTAATCCCGATCAAAATGCCGTGACTTTCGATCAGGTGGGAAGGCAAGTTGTCCAAGGGAGCAAAGTCGATCGGCCACGAGGAGTCGAAGAAGCGGCACGAAAGGAGGAAAGTTAACTTCACGACAGGCGAGCTCCCTTGCTTCCGATCGGAATGATCGCAGCTTTTGATCCGACTGGAAGAAATGTCGGAGGAGCGAGGTCGTTGAGCCACGAAGGAATCAGAGGAGAAGCGCCAGAGAGCCAGGGAGGGCCGAAGGCCTCATCCTTTCGGTCTTTTAACGACTCGAATGAGTCGTGCCAGCGACGTGCGAGTAGCGACGCTCGGTATGGCCTCGACGTGCGACGAGCGGCGCTGGATCGTGCGACATGGGGCGGCAGGTAAGGGATTTGATCTCTTTTTTTTTTATTACGGGTCAACAAACCCATAATTGATTTGGTAGATTGGATGCGTGTAAGAGCGTACGAGTGAGGTCGAGAAGGTGCCTATGCTTACGCTCAGCTATGTCATTTTGTTCAGGTGTGTGTGGACAGCTTAGTTGATGGATGATACCGTGCTCTTGAAGAAACGATTTGAAGGCGTTGCTCGTGAATTCGTCGCCACCGGTAGAACGAAAGATTTTGGGGGTGGAGGAAAATTGTGTTTGAACAAGACTGCAAAATAGTTTAAACTTCATGAAAGTCTCCTGTTTAGAATGCATGAAATATACCCAATAAATGCGTGTAAAATCGTCAATAAAGACTACGTAGTAACGAAAGCCATCTAAAAGTTGTTGTTGGGTCGGCCCCCAGACGTCCGAGTGTATAAGCTCGAACAGAGAGGAGGTCACGGAACCTCTTTTATTAAACGAGAGCTTGTGGCTCTTGGCCACATTATAAGATTTACACAAAAAAGATAGAGATACATTTCTAAATTCAGGAATGCGTTTTGCAAGAATAGAAAGAAGGCGATTGTTCGGGTGTCCAAGGCGTGCATGCCAGATTTGTGATGAAGTGCTGCTGGCATGAAGAGTTGTAGGTGGGTTCTCCGGAGCCATTCTTATTTGATATAGACCGTTAAGAAGATGCCATGAAGAAGCGGTCGATGGTCCTGAAAATCCTTAATTTCAAAGTCATTAGCATCAAAAATAATTGAAACAGAATTATCTGAAGTTAATTTTGATACGAATAAAAGATTGTGAGTAAGAGATGGGACATGAAAAAAATTGTATAGACGAAGCTTACGAGGTGTGTCCGGTAATGGAAGCAAACCTTGACCGGAGTTGTGAATAGGTAATGTGGAACCGTTGGCGACGGAGACTGCGTCATGGCCTTGATAGGCGGACGGTTGCTGGATGTTTGCGCTGTCCGGTGTCAAATGTGTAGAAGCGCCGGAGTTAAGAATCCAATCATGAGTCGCATAAGGTGTCGATTGAGCTAGCATGGCTTGTGGTCCGTTGGATATGGTCGGCGCATATTCAAAATTACATCTATGCCAACAATTTATGACAATGTGGCCTGGTTTACCACATATTTGGCAAGTTGGACGCGAATTGCTTGTGTTAGTGGGAGACATGGTCGGATTGCTAGGAGAGGGTGGCCTGGATGGAGCGTTCTTGTTCTTGAGGAAACGTTTTTTATTACGCCCTCGCGCTTGATTGTAGGAGGTGGCATAGAGTGCGGAGGCGGACGATCCCGTGGACGGGTCTTTGAGGAGTTATTGATTGATGTGAATTTCCTCGCTGCAAAGGAGCTAGTATAGTGTGTCAAGATCGGCAGGAAGAGGTGAGGTGCGGATGGCAGTCTTGAACGAATTGTATGTTGATGGGAGTCCGTTGAGGATCTAAAGAACAATATCTCCTGGATCGATTTTTGATCCAGAAGCGGTGATGTTGTCAACAATATTCTTTATTTGGGAGAGATATTGTTTCATGGTGAGGTTCTTCATTTGTATGTGATGTAGTTCGTTCCTGAGTTGGATAAATCGAGAACGACTTGATGGTTGCAGACGACATTCAAGAACCGTCCAGACATCTTGAGCGGTGGTGGATGTGATGACATATGGGAGGATCGAAGGCGATATCGTTGAGAACATGGCAGAGATTAAATTGCTGTCAACGAGACGCTAACGAGCGTGGTCTTGAGATGCAGTATCGGGAGGCGGAGGAGTGGCGCCCGTGAGGTGTCCAGCATAACCATTTGCGAAGAATTGTTTGATGATTTGAATGCGCCAAACGACATAGTTGTCGGTGGTGAGGGAATGCGGGATTAGATTCTTGATGTTGGAGATGAGGAATTTGAGCGGCGCCTGTATGGAGAAATCAGCAGAGTTTTCGGCGAGAGTAGAAGAAGTGGGAGGGAGGGAGGAAGCTGAATCTTTGTCCCCCATTGTTGGCTCTAGATACCATGAGAGGACAGCCAAGAGAAGCTTGGGCGAAGACGAGAGAGAGAGAGAGAGGGAGAGAAAATGTAATTCATTACCATTCCAACTAAGGTACAGTAAGTATATATAGGCAAATACAGGTAAAGAAGTAAATAATGGAGGTACATCTTAATGAATGTGAGCCGCATGCTAACACTTGCATTTTAGAAGAATCATTATAACTATTATAATACTTTCTTTGCAACTTGATCACCTTTGACTAGTTGCTGTTGTGCTGATTTTTTTTAGTTTTGGATTCTTTAGCAAGCACTTTCAATGTCTCGGTCTGCACTTGATGAGGTGTCACAGTCTGGTTCTTTCATCCGCACTCCTTCAACTTTTCGTAATTTCATTTCGAAAGATCTAGCATCCCAGTTCCCTGCAGTATCTGGAAGATACCATCTTTATATATCTTATGCATGCCCCTGGGCATCTAGATGTCTGGCATATTTGAAACTCAAAGGGCTTGATAAGGCCATCAGTTACACGGTGACTTTTTCTTAACGTTACAGATTTTGTCGTACTTTCTCTTAATCATTACATATCTAAATCTTAAAGATTTGTAATTTCATTTAGGCAGTAAAACCAAAATGGGAAAGGACTAAAGAGACTGATGAGCATTTTGGCTGGGTCTTCCCCGCTTCTAGCACAGAGGATGCTGGAGCTGATCCTGATCCTTTGAATGGAGCGGGGAGTGTCAGAGAACTTTATGAGCTTGCAAGTTCAAGTTATACGGGAAAATATACCGTTCCTGTGCGTATATGATATTTTGATTTTTCTCCTTTTTGCATTTATTTCCAGCAAGATTTTCGTTTTCTTCTTGGCTGAGACACCAAATAATTATTTAAAAAATTATGCAATAGGTACTTTGGGATAAGCAACTCAATACAATTGTAAATAATGAGAGTGCAGAAATAATCCGCATGTTCAACACTGAGTTTAACGAAATAGCAGAAAATCCTGATTTGGACTTGTACCCCTCTCATCTGCAAACAGTAATTGATGGGGTCAATGAATGGGTTTATGAAACGATAAACAATGGTGTATACAGGTGTGGATTTGCCAAGAAACAAGGACCTTATGATGAGGTAATGATTTTCTTATTTATTTGAATGAAATTTGATTATTTCTGACTTTTATTTTCTGCTTTAATTTAGGCTGTAGTCAAGCTATATGATGCCTTGGACAAATGTGAGGAGATATTGAGCAAGCAACGCTATATTTGTGGGAATGAGTTGACAGAAGCTGATATTCGTCTTTTTGTAACTCTGATTAGGTTTGATGAAGTAAGAATCTCAGTACTTATTTGGTTGCATGCTTTCGTGATTACAAGTAGCAATAACAGGAGTTTACTATTCTTTTTTGTTATGGAAATCCTTCTGACTACTTTTTAATGTAATGCCATGGAGAACTGTATGATGAAATTGGAATTTCTAACATGGAATAGAGGATTGATATATATATATATATATATATATGCATAGTAACACATGAATTACATTGGACTACCACATGGAATGTGGCCTCTTTGTTCTTAGCATCATAACTAGGTGAAACCAATGAGCTAGGGGTGTGAAAATTTGACCCAACCTGAAAATTCCGAGTTCATGTTAACCCATTTAATAAACGGGTCGGGTTCAGGTCCAGAAATTCGTTTGTTTAATAAACGGGTCAAGTTCCCACAATTAACCTAATTTTGACCCGGATCAGGAGAATTTACAGATTTGATTGAAGAAGCACGCAAAATGGTAGAAAGGAGTCAAGGAACACTATCACATTGAGCGAGCTCCCGTTGTCGTTGATTGAAGGGGGTCGAAGTTCACAATGGCGGATTTACGAGATTTGACCGAGGAAGCACAAGAAATCAAAATTGATCATGACTTGAATTCCATCTGAGTATTGAACCAAATTTATTGGATTTGATCGAAGAAGCTTGTGAAATTTGGAGAAAGATGCGAGCTCCCTTGATGATGTGACTCTAGGAGTGTCAATATTTGACACGACACGAAAACACGATCCAAAAAATCAGGGTTAAGCTCAACTCCTTTGTCACACGGATCGGGTTCAATAAGCCGACTAGTTTCGAAAATCAAGTAGTTTTTGGGTTGGCCCGAAAACCCAAAAGTGACTCAGATCCGACCTCCCACTCTAACCCTGATCCACCTCTATTGCGCTCGTGGTTGCATAGGTCACTGGCCGAGCTCGCCCTCCCGCGCTTAGGTCTGCACTTGGACTATCTCAGCATACCGTGCAGGCGCGCACTCGTGCAAATTACTGGCTACACTAGCCATTATGCCGTCCCACTCTTGTCGTCTTCCATGAGTTGTTTGATGCGCTGCACCCGGACTGTGCCTACTCTCTCGCGCCTGCTCCGCCACTCCCGCACCCTAGCTCTCTTGCTCCCCCCGTGCTAGTTTCGTCGCTCCCACACCCATCTCGTGTGATGCGTCTGCACCCGGAGGCTCGTGCTTTCTTACTTGACTTGGGAAAATCCGGGTTATCATGTAGGGTTGGGTCAACCCGGTAACCCGTCGGGTCAGGTTTGGGTGTGAAGTTTTGACCTATTTACAAAACTGGATCAGGTTAGGGTCGATCCGAACCCGACCCACGGACCTATTTTGACACCTCTAGATGTGCTCTGTCACCATAGAAGGAGGCGAAGTTCCCAGCTTTCATTTCAGATAGCAGTTTGGATCGTGTCTAGTCGGGTTGGTGGCGGGTCGGGGGCAGGTATGAGATTTTAACTCGTTTAGATAAATAGATTGGGTTCAAGTCGGGCGTATTAAGAGCGGGTCAATTTTGGGTTGAAACTGAACTTGACCTGAAAACTCATTTTGACACCCTTACATTGAGGAGCTAAGGATGGCTCTTGACAAAAGTTCTATTGAAACTATTTATAATATGAAAATTAATCCTAAACTTTTTTCCTGCAACTATGCATATTATAGAAGTCTTGCCTCCCTAAATTTAGCGTATATCTTTTGACCAACTCTCAATTGAAATCCTCGTTCACCATTGACCATAACCAATGCACATCTACCTGAGTTACATGAAGCAATTCCATAAGGTTAGCTTTGTTTCTTGAGGATCGTAAGCCCATCGCTTTAAGCTTGTTTTCTTTAATATGCTATTTCCATTGTTTAAATTTTTCCATATATTTAAAAGTGTCTCCTTGGTTATTTCATACACTTATGACTTATTGAATATGATGCCGTATGTGACAATTAATATCTTTAATTAGCATCACAATAAATACTATAATCAAGGATGATGCATGCCATGCCCAACCTGTTCACTTTGAATCGATTGGTTCAGATCCCTCCAGACGTCTAATTTCATAAATTTTCTTATCTCAAAATTGTGCAATGCATCAGATTTTATACTAGGGTCCTACGTCATTTTGAATTCATCTAGTCTTTAATTTGACCAACAACAACAACAACATCAAGTCTTTGTCCCACTAAGTGGGGTTGGCAACATGAATTCTTTTTCGTCATTGTATCCTGTTAAAAGTCAAATTCTCATTTAAATCTAATAAAGAAATATCATTTCTAATATTTTCTAACCAAATCTTTTTAGATCTACCTCTACCTTTCTTAACATAAGTCAAATCTAATGTACCTCAACTTTCCTAACTAGGGCTGCAAGCGAACCAAACGTTCGACGAGCTACTCATTACTCGGTTCGATTAAAGCTCGTTTGGGATTGTTTAACTAACTAAACAAATAACTTGAACAACATTTTTAATACTTGATCCTTAAATAAATAAGCTTGAACACTAATGTGTTCGGTTCATTTATGTTCACGAACAACATTATTTGAAGCTCGTGAACAAGCTCGGCATTAAGCTTGATAAGAAGCCCGATAAAAGCTTGATTCATGTTCGATTTAGAACTCGTGAATAAACTCGATAAATATATTCATATAGATTAATCATATTTTCATTTTAAATCGACAATTATTTTTATTATAAATTTAATTTCATTTTATTTTATACCTTCAATAGAATGATTTTGTTCAAGAACAAAACACATTTCACATTTGTCAATGTTTGCTTGATTGTTTGTTTAAGATGTTCATGAACAAATTTAAGATGAATCATAAATCGTTTGTTCGTGAACGAGCTTATTTGGTAGCTCGAAAATACTAGTTATGTATATATTCATGATCTTGCTCATTTGATAGCTCAAGAATACTCATTATATTTGCTTATGAACATGCTTGTTTGATAGTGTAACAAAATTTGCTAAATATGTTCACGAACATAGCTCGTTAAGGCTTGTTTGTTTGAAGCTCAATAAGCACTAAACGAACCGAACATGAACCAAACATGAACACTATTAATTTAAACAAACCAAACATGAACACAAACAATAAAGTTCGAATCAAACACGAACCAAACTTGAACAAGCTAATAATAAACAAACTCAAACATGAACACTCACATACTCGACTCGGTTAGGTTCGTTTGCAGCTCTATTCCTAACCGGGTCATCAAAAGGCTTCCATTTAATGTGACCACATCATCTAAGACGACTTTCTCTAATCTTATAAAATAGCACCACCACCACCAAATATTTATTTTTTTCATTTATTTTTGCCAAAAAATGATCTTTCATTATAAATAGCAAAAATATGAAGTCATTTTATGTTTCTGACATTTCATTCCTTTGGTCTAACAGGTTTATGTTGTTCATTTCAAATGCAACAAGAAACTCCTGCGTGAATATCCAAATCTGTTCAATTACACCAAAGACATTTACCAAATTCCTGGCATCAGCAGCACCGTTAACATGGAGCATATAAAGAAGCACTACTATGGAAGCCATCCTGCCATTAATCCATACGGAGTCATTCCAATTGGTTCCAACACAGATTTCTCCGCTTCTCATGACAGAGACAGATTCAATAATTAGCTTTGTTTGAACTGCCATAATTTGGATTGTCTACTCTTTAATGATACATCTTGTTGAAGAGAGAGAGAGAGAGATCAGAGAGAGAGAAGATCCTCGCTGCCATTAGCGGGCAAGTAAAGACTACTTGGATGCACAAATAAGCTTGTTTTCGGTGAGTTAACGGCCACTCCTATGTTTGATTAGCAGACATTTATGCTGTTTACACTGTTGTGACATATTTAAGTACCATTGTATATATTATATGATGTCTGTGAACTGCAAAATACAATTTTTTTTTTTTTGGGAAATTTACATACATACCACTTCATTTCATGTTATTTACATATATAACGCCTAAAACTTTAGTATTACATGTCTACCATCCATATACAATTTTAATATCAAATATATCACTTCTATAATTCATTTCTATCATTCATACCATCTTATAAACTTTAATATTTCATTCAATGCACCCAAATTTGTTTTATGGGTGGTAATCATGTAATATTAATGTTTTGGGTGTTAGATATGTAAATAACATGAAATAAAGTGGCATGTATGTAAAACCCCTTTTTTTGGTTTTGACTTTCTAATAAGTGATATTAAAACATTTATTATTTTTCTCTTCTTCATAGGACATATGGGGATCATCCTCTCAACAGCTAAAATCTCTAAAGCTTGATGATTTGCATCTTTTAGGGGCTGTTTGGTAGAGGATTTGATTTAACTTTAGTGGATTTTAGTAAATACTGAGGGTGTTAAATTCTGAAAACTGTTTGGTATGACAAATGTTAAATCCTGTTAAATTCTGAGAAATTGTTTTGCAACATATTTTAGGATTTCACAAGTTCGTAACTCTTGTATCCGTAAATCCCTTAAATCCGCCGAACAATTGATTATTTTGAAACATGCCTAAAATGGATATTGTTCGAGTTATTCTATCATTTATTAACAGCTATATTTAAAAATATAACAATTCTATATTAAAAATGCCTTCTTATATGGTGTCACTAATTCCAATTCAAATAAAAAATGAATACTTTAGGTTTAAAAGGCTTTATATAAATTGAAGGAATCTCCAAGGGCCTAATTCAGAAGTTTATCAATATAATGCTCAACTTGAGATATAATAAGAATCAAATATTTCATATATTATTTACAAAACACACCTTTTAGATAAATCTTATCATACATTGTTTATGCTGATAATATTATCTTAACAAGTAATTAATGACATGAAAGGAATGAAGAAATTTAAGGAAATATTACTCAAAGAAATTTTGAATGAAATGAAGAACTTATGTTTACCTAATATAAGCTAATCAGCCATAACCATTTCTCACCATTTTACCCCATCATAAACTTTTCCAAAAGAGTTAAAGCAAATAAGCTCAAATTAGGTACCTTTAACCTGGTTTTGGTGTCACCACCTCCTAATCTCTTATAACGGTGCCCCATCTCGCAATCAACTCTAGAACATATCCCACCGTCATTAGCTATCATTATGCTTGTTTAGTTCTTATTAAGCCCGCGCTGGACTCGAGCTCATTTATTGAGCTCGAGCTCGACTCTTTAAAAAACTAATAAGTCAAGATCATTTGGAATGCTTGAGCTTGACTTGATTACTGAGCTCAATTTTTTTAATTTTAAATTAAAATTTTAAGTTTTTTTTTTATTTTTTTAAACATAGAATTAGTTTAATCGAGTGGCTCAAGAAGCTTATGAGGTGAGTCAGGCTAAGCTCGAGCTTGAGCTCGATTATTATACGAGCTCGAGTATAGGATAAAGCTCAAACTCGTGGCTCAATAAGCTTGACTCATGAGTTCATTAACGAGTCGAGCTCGAGCCGACTTGGCTCACTTACACCTCTATGATATATCATCTATCTCTCTCTCTCTCTCTCTCTCTTATATTTTACAATTTAGTATATTTTTTGAAGCTCGCTCAAATATAATTAATACTCAGAAGTAAATTCATTGAATACATTAGAATTACAATAATTCTCGATAATGAGCTGAGAGTTTTCTGCTCTTGAGTTTGAACATTTTTGAACTTATCTGTAATCATTTCATGATTTATAGATAAAACAGGTTTCAATTGAATGTCTTCAGCCAACATATTATTTTCTACAATATGCAATTTTAGGGATTATTTTCTCTTCAAAAGATTTTTAGAGCTAATTTATAAGATCTTTAGAGAGCCTCAACGTCTCCTAAACAGATAGAGCTCTAATTTTCAAATCTTTATTTTTGACTTCAAATAGTGGCGTATCAATCTCAATTTGCTTTATAGAGTCATTTGGAATTTTTTTTCTTTAGTTTTATAAGCCAAAGAATTCTTTTTTAATGTTTATGTTTAATTAGTTTCAACAATCTCTTTTTCATGGCTTTAAGCAAATTGATCTGTCTTAAAGCATAAATTGTGCTATAGGTCAACAATCATTAAATCATAGTTTTTCTTTTGATAAGTGACCTAAAAAAAATCAAGAAAAATATATATTTACTTATCAAAAATTTTTCTTGGAGGTGTACTCCAACATAGGGGTGTCAATTCGGGTCAACGGGTCGGGTTTGGGTCGAATCCGGAACTGACCCGGCACTATTCGGGTCAACCCGAACCCGACCCGTTTTTAAAAACGGGTCAGGTTTTTGGACTCAAACCCGACTTGATCCGGGTCCGGGTCAACCCGACCCGACACGAATGACCTGGGGTTGACCCAAAATTGCTAGTTTTCGTGTAAAAAATCGGGTCAATCTTCGATTTTCGGGTAAAAAACGAGTAATACCGAGTAATACCGAGCAATACCGAGTTGTACCGAGTTTTTCTAGAAAAACTCGGTACAACACGGTATTGCTCGGTATTACTTGGTATTTGCTCAGTATTGCTCGGTATTTGCTCGGTATTGGTTATTGCCGAGCAAAATCGATCAATACCTAGTAATACCGAGCAATACCTAGCAAAATAGAGAAATATTGAGCCATCCTAGGTTCGTTCCGGGTCGGATTGTCGGGGAGCGCGCTAAATTATGAGAACGCTTGACACGATTCTACTGGCGGCCGAACTTAGAGCTACCTCCACCGGACCAAATAACGACGTCCTGGCGGACTGGCGGTGCCTCCCACTAGCGACCTGAAACGATAGTAAATGGTGAGCTCTTTCTTGCGTTTATTAAAACCAAACCAGACCGGATATTATGACATTCGTAAAAGCCCGTCATGGCGTCTCCGTACAAATCTTCTCAACCCTGTTGCTACGCGGGCTCGTCAGATTCCAGTAGGTCAATGGTGGAACAAACACGCGAGGCGGCTCCTGAGGGACGACCACGATTATCCTTTTCCATTGCAGACTTTTTTATACCTTGATGTTCTCTCCAGTCGTTTGCAACTTCTACGTCTCTTTTATCAGCAGTCGCTCCTTTTATGCTAAGGTGAAGCAGAATTTTTTGAGCTTGAGGCCTCTTCATTTGCTGAATTTAGATGTCTTTTCTTTTGCCTCTTTAATTTTGTTGTATTTTATTGTCTTGTCATAAGAATCATAATTCATGAGAGAACGGTATAGGGTTTACACATATTCTCAGTTAGTTTGCTTAAGATTGGGATTCGAAGTTGTCGTCTGCTTTCCATTGATGGATTTGTTGTGTTTCTTTGAGATTGTTCGACCGTTTGAGCAAAGCTATCTTGATTTTCCGAGGTATGAGCTCGTAATATGGGGTTCGCTTACCATTTTAGTTATGCTTGGAAGTGGACGATATAGCGAAAATCCGATTTTTGGCTGACAATTTATTACCCTATTGCCTAATTAACTAGAGAGGTGTCATTACAGATCAATTTTTTCTTAATTTCTTGCACACTCTTCTATGTAGAGTGTAACCTGTTGCAAAATCTTCAAACTAGAGGTCCAATGTACTTTTTTTCTGTTGGGTTAACTTGGAAGAAAGTTCGTGGAGTATATGCTTTTTTGCTGCTAAATTGTAATCAGTTATTATTTTGATTCAAAATAAAAATGGAGGGACCGCAATAAATCTTGTTACTGAAAAATAAATGTCAAAATAGCTTGTAATAAATGAATGGAATTTTTTATTTTTTTAGTTGGATTAAATCGTAAATTGAAATTTGTTTAATTGCTAGATTCCTATGTGGGAAAATACAGAAGTTAGAGTGGTAATTTACTAATTTCTGATGAAAAGTTGAAGAGTGATAATATTCGATGAAAGCTTAAGAAGTTTATTCATAAAAGATTGAGGGAAATTGTCTTATCATTAGAAGAGTGATTTCTTACCCTAAAATATTTGATGCTATTGCACCCGCTTGGATCAATATCGCTCCATCATTGATTTTCATGTGATTGACCTTAGTGCACTTCAGTGCCAACTTATGGGCTTCTTTTGTTCTCCTTGTAGTATATCATCCCATAACACCCTCCAAGAATTAAAGCTCACAAAATGATTGATATTGTTGGGGGAGATGAGGAGGAGTAAATACCACAATGACGTAACAAGTAAGAAAATAAAAGCAGCAAAAAAGTAAAGAACACTAGGATTTAACATAGAAAAACCCAAAATAAGAAAAAAAAAACCATGGAGTCACACCATACCAAGAAATACACTATTAAATAAGGAGATAAATAAGTACATATCTCTCTTCTCTCTCACTCTCTCCTTGCTTCTCTTCTCACATGCACCTTTCTCAATGTATACACACTAAAAATACTAAAAAAAAACTAAGTAAAATAACTCCAAGGTATGCAACCCTTAAGAAAATAGAGAAAGAAATTTGTCTAGTTTGTCTTGCAACGGTGCGGCGCTTGAACCTCTATCTTGATCCGTTGTAGTGTCGTATCTATGTCGCTGCAGCGCTCTATTCTATCGTTCAGTATCAGGGTGCTCGGGAACACAGAACCGGGATGCTCGAGTACGTAGCACCGGGGCATTGTAGGGAAAAAATTTCTGGGTCAGGGGGTAAACCCCTCGAACCACCAAAGAGCACGAGAAACTTGAGGTCGAGGCAACAAAACAATCCGATTGATCAACACAATCAGATTCCACACAACAATCTCCCACTTGGCTCAACCCTGCTCTTATCCTCCATGAAGACCAACTGAAGATACACATAGATTCAGGTTATCAACTGTCACCATATTCGTCAGCATGTCTATCGTGTGTATCTTCTCCAAAGATAACTTACCATCTTCTAGAAGCGATATGATGAAATGATACAGAAGCTGCATATGCTTCGCCCTGGCATGGAATGCATCATTCTTGGCTAGATGTATTGCACTCATTTTGTCACTATACAGCTTCCCATTCCTTATCTCTTACAAAGTTCTGCCAAGAAACTTTGCAACCAAATCATCTCCTTGCTAGCCTTAGTAATAGCAATGTACTCTGATTATGTAGTTGAGAGCGCAATAACCTTCTGTAACTTGGAAACCCAACTAACTGTAGTTTTTCTCAAAATGAAGATATAACATGTTGCGCTTCTCCTACCATCAAGATCTCCAGCAAGACCAGAATCTACATATACTTGTAGATCAATCTCTGCATCATTAAATCAAAGAGCTTTATCAACTGATCCTCTCAGGTATCTAAGAATCCACTTAACCGCCTCCCAATAAAGTTTACCTGGATTAATCATTAAAATTTGCTAACAACTCTCACTGCATATGCTTTATCAGATATTGTGTAGATCATAACATACATCAAACTTCTAACTGCTGAAGCATAAGGAGTCTTCTCTTTATATTCTTTTTTCATCTTTAGATTTAGGCTATTGTTCATTGGATAATTAAAAGTGACTACCAAAGGGAGTGCAAACTGATTTTCTTCACTCATGTTGAATCTTTGAAGCACCTTTTAACATACTCTACCTGAGACAACTTCAGTATACATGCACTTTTATCTCTATTGATTCTCATACCAAGAATTTTCTTCAGATCTTTCATTTCAAACTCTTCTGATAACTGTTCATTCAGATATTTTATCTTCTTCATATCTAACCCTATAACTAGCATGTCATCCACATACAAAAGTAGAATAATATAATAGTTATCAAAATATTTTAAAAAATAACTATGATCTGTCTGGCACTTCATGTACCCATTATCTGACATAAACCTATCAAATCTCTTGTACCACAGTTTTGGTACCTACTTCAGCCCATATAAGCTCCTCATGAGCTTACACACCAGATTTTTATTACCTATCAAATCTCTTCATAAAAAAAAAATGTACAACTCTTCATCAAGGTCATCATGATGAAATGCTATCCTTACATTCATTTGCTCTAGATGTAAATCCTCAATTGCTACCATACTTAGTAAAACTCTGATTATAATCATCTTCACCACTGGAGAGAAAATTTCAGTGAAGTCCACTCCTTCCTTTAGCTAAAAATTTTTAATTAAGTCGGGCCTTGTAGCGCTCGCTACTATTAGGTTCTTCTTTCAGCTTATAAACCTACTTGTTTAGCAGTGTTTTTTGCCATTTGGTAGCTTTATAAACTCCAAATCTGATTCAATTCAAGTGAACGCATCTCAACATCCATTGCTTGCTCCCACTTCTTTTAATCATCAACTTGAATGACTTCATCATAGCACTCTGGTTCACCACTATCTGTCAGCAATAGATAGTGCAAGAAAGGAGGATACCTTTGTACTGGCCTTGAGATTCTAGTATATCTCCTAATTTTAGTAGCAGGAGTCTGAGGTAATCTCTGTGCTTCATCAGCTTTACCTTCTTGATCATTATAATCCTCTATATCAAAATATTTATAATAATCTTCAGGAGTCTCGTTTATATCATTATACATTTTACTTTCATTGAATTGAATTTCCCTTCTCCTGATGAACTTCTGATTATGATAATCCTAGAATTTATAGCTAAATTCATTTGAGCTATATCCAATGAATGCACACTTGATAGATCTTAGATCAAGCTTACTCCTAAATCCTACATCAACATGAATATAAGATGAACAACCAAAAACTTTGAGGTGGAATATACTAATCTCCTTTCCACTCCAGGCTTTCTCAGGTAACCCCTCATTCATAGGAACTGAAGGACCACGATTGATCAGATAAACTACAGTATTCACTGCCTTTGCCCATAACTGTTTGGGTAGTCCTGCATATAACCTCATGCTCCTGGCATGCTCAGTGATAGTTCTATTTATGCGCTTTGCAACACCATTGTGCTGTGGTGTTCTTGGAACAGTGAACTCATGCTTGATCCCATTCAAAGCATAATAGTCATTGAACTCCTTATCACGATACTCGCCACTATTATTTGATTCGAGACACTTGAGCTTTATACCTCTCTCATGCTCAACCATGACCTTTAACTTCTTAAAAACATCAAACTCATCTGACTTGTGTTTTAAGAAGTACAACCATACCATCGTACTGTAATCATCAATAAATGTAACAAAATACAAAAATCCCTCTATAGAAGTAATTGGAGCAAGATCCATACATCAATATGCACTAACTCCAACTTCTTTGACTTAACCTTTGAACTAGTATTTGAAAAACTCATCCTATGTTGCTTGCAATATACACAGTTTTCATAAAAATCTAAATCTATAGATTTTAAACCATTAAGCTTTCTTTTAGTAAGAAGTGAATGCATATCTTTCTTATTCATATGACCAAATCATCAATGCCAAAGACTTCCATCAACATCTGAATCTGCTACTCCAATAGAATGTGTTCTTCTATTAATAACATATAGGGGGCCTTGAGGCCTTCAATACTGTCATGATCTATAATCATAGCCCCTTTTGTCACCTTCAACGTATCTCCTGTGAATGATTTCACATGGCCCGAGTTTGCAAGCTGACTCACAAAAAACTAAACTCCTCTTCAAATAAGGAACGTGCCTAACATTTTCGAGTCCCCAAATTGACACATCTGATATTCTGATATCAACATCTCCCTGTCCAACAGTGTTGTAGGACTTGTTGTACTCGAGATATACTTCACCAAAATCATCTTAAATATAGTTCTTGACTGCCTCCTTATTAGGACTTGTATGAAAAGAAGCACCTGAATCTATCACCCAAGATTCAGAATTGTCCAAAGATAAAATTAGATAATCTGACTGACATTCTTTTGCATATACTTTTGTAGAATGTTTTTTGTTTTGACCTCCACTATTATCCTTCTTTGGAATTGTACAGTTCTTCTTCAAGTGATCCTTCTTTCCACAACTCTAGCACATAACTTTTCCTCTACTTGAAGTAGAATTTTCTTTCTTGGATTTAGATCTCTCTCTGTCTGGATTTCTCTCTAAACCCCTTCCTCTTGCTTCAACATTTAGAGCAGAATTTGAAGATACACGGTTCGCCCCGCCCTCCTGTGAACCTCTTCATTAAGCACTAACCCCATAATGTCCTCAAAGTTCAACTTTGAACTTCCCGAAGAGTTTCTCACAGCAGTAACAAACCCATCCTAGCTTTCTAGCAATGAAGATAATAACAATAATGCCTTTACCTCATCATCAAAATTGATTTCAACCAAATACAATTGACTCATCACAGTATTCAGATTATTCAGGTGTTCCTCTATTGGAGTGTTGTCCAATATCTTTATATTGAATAATTTCTTCATCAGGAACACCTTTTTTAAGGATGATGGCTTCTCATGCGTCTTGGTCAGTGCAGCCATGAGATCGACTGTAGTCTTCTTATTTACAATGTTGAATGTAATAGATGAGGAACTGAAAGCCATATCAAACATAATGCAGTCCGGTCAAGAACCTCCCATTCCTCCATAGTCATAGAATCTGACTTCTTTGTGATTCCTTCCAATGGTAAATACAACTTCTTCTGATACAACAAGTTTTAAATTTGCATCTTCCAAAATGCAAAGTTCGAACCATTGAACTTTTCAATTTTGTATTTTGCTTCATCTACTATTACTCCCACTTGATCTGAAGAACATTGCTCTAATACCAGTTGTTGTGGGAGATGAGGAGTAAACACCACAATGGCGAAACAAGCAAGAAAGTAGTAGTGGAAAAGTAAATGACACTAGAATTTAACGTGGAAAAACCTAAAATAGAGAAAAAAAACCTCATAGCCACACCACACCAAGAAATCCACTATGAAAATTAAGAGAAAGAAGTACAAATCTCTCTTCTCTCTCACTATTTCCTTGCTTCTCTTCTCACATACATCATTCTCAATATCTGCACACTAAAATACAAGGGAAAGTTAAGTAAAATAACCCCAAGGGACGCAACCGTTCATAAAAACGAGAAAGAAAATTGTCTAGTCCGCTTTGTAGCGTTGCGGTGCCAGTTTGAAGAGTTGTAACGCTTGAACCTCTATCTTGATCCGCTACAACACTGTATCTGTGCCGCTGCGGCGCTCTGCTCTCTGTCATTCAGTGCCGGGGTGCTTAGGAACACAACGTTGGGGTGCTCGGGAACACAACACTGAGGCGTTGTAGGGGGGGGAGGAGGAATTTTCGGGTGCAAAGCTCCCGAACCCAAGCAGAGGGTAAACCCCTCGCACCCCTCAGTGAGCACGAAAAACTTGAGGTCCGAGATAACTGAACAATCTTATTGATGAACACTGTCAGATTCCACACACAACAGATACTACAAGTTCATTTGTTTCATTCATGAAAAATCAAACATGAATGCTATTGAATTGGCCCTAATAGAAACTTGTGCAAACAATGACTTTTTTCAAAACATTTTGAGGAACTAGTCCGTATTACCAGTCTACTAGGCAACGTGTGGAATGGCCGATGGGCGAGGGTAGACCGTTTTGGATATACAATTTAGTACTTACTAGTGCTGCCAGTTCTTAATGTTTACACGATGCTACTCCATTAGTATTTTAAGAGTCTATTTGTTTTCCTGAAAATATATTTTGCTTTGAGCATTGAAAATCCTTATGGTTATTTGTGAAATTTTGGACTGTTTCAATAGCATGTCTTTTGTGGCTACATTATAATTTCAAACTGCTTTTTATTGTGTTTCGAACACTTTGTTTTTTTTTTCTTTTTTGAAGTTAAAGTTCAGTTTTTTGTTTTACTTTTTTAATAAACTATTTTTTTGATACGTGGATTTGAAAGTCACAAAAATTTTAACATTTATGTTCATTGAACACGAGCTAGCAATATGCTTTGGAAACATAATTTGCAAACATGAGAGATCATAGATTTTAGTATTTCTCTTATTGCCCCTGCATACTGTTACAGATATATTCTGTTGTGTATACTACTATTGTTGTCGCTTGATATAAAGATGGTGAATTTATGTTACATATCAATCCTCAGTAATAGAGCTAAAGCTCAAACAATTGCTGCCATGCTCTCTTTTAAGAAGAATTATTATAATCCTCTTAATACATTATTTGTTTTAAGTGACAACTTATGACTTTCAAGTAGCTACTATTGTGCTGATTTTCTCGTTGTGGACTCCTAGCGAACCCTTTCAATGTCATCTCGATTTGGACTTGATGTGGTGTCAGAGGCCGGTGCTTTCGTTCGTGCTCCCTCTAGTTTTCGTAATTTTATTTCAAAAGATCAGGCATCCCAGTTCCCTGCAGAATCAGGAAGATACCATCTTTATGTATCTTATGCATGCCCATGGGCATCTAGATGTCTGGCATATTTGAAACTCAAAGGACTTGATAAGGCCATCAGTTACACGGTGATTTTACTTCTCTTCGTGAAGTTTTCATACTTTTATTTCTATCATTACATCTTCCAATCTTATACACGTAATTCATCATTAAGGTTGTCAAATCCATATTGGAAAGAACTAAAGAGACTGATGATCATTTTGGATGGGTCTTTCCTGCTTCTAGCACAGAAGAAACAGGGGCTGCTCCTGATATGTTGAATGGTGCCAAGAGTGTCAGGGAACTTTATGAACTTGCAAGCTCAAATTATTCAGGAAGATACACTGTCCCTGTACGTATGTGATGTTTTGGCTTCTTGTTGTTTTGATCCTTGTTCTTTTTGGCCGGGACACCATTGAGTTATTTTTATATTTAACAGGTTCTTTGGGATAAAAAACTCAAAACTATTGTAAATAATGAGAGTTCAGAAATAATCCGTATGTTCAATACAGAGTTTAATGAAATAGCTGAAAATGCTGATTTGGACTTGTATCCCTCTCACCTACAAGCAGTCATTGATGAGGTCAATGAATTGGTTTATGACTCAATAAACAATGGTGTTTATAAGTGCGGGTTTGCTGTAAAGCAAGGACCTTATGACGAGGTAATGATTTTCATATTCTTTTAAATGAAATTTGGGCCTTGTTCTGACTTTTATGTCTCTTTCACTTAGGCTGTAGTGAAGTTATATAATGCCTTGGACAAATGCGAGGAGATACTGAGCAAGCAACGCTATATTTGTGGGAGTGATTTGACGGAAGCTGATATTCGTCTTTTTGTTACTCTGATAAGGTTTGATGAGGTAAGGATCTTCCATATAGTAGGCTACAAGTTTTCATTATTGAAAGTGTCAAAAACTTGGGGTTACTAATTTTATAGTTATGTCAGACCATCAGACTACTTTTTAATGTCATGTAGTGGAGTTCTACATGATGAAATTGGAGTTGCCTGATGAAAATTTTGATTTCTATTGAACGTTGGTGTATTGGAAAGGGGTTAGAAAAAAACTGTTTGATTTTTTTTTTTTAATATTAATACATGTAAAGCAGTTGTATTGTGATAATTAGCAAACGGAGTTAATATATTTTTTATTTTTATTTTTAAAAATATCGTCAATCAACATATATATTAAATATATTACAATTGGTATCAACAATTTGAACTTGTGAATTAAATTGTGTATTTTGTCAATTTAAGGGAAACCGCAGAATTATTTAAATGGATTGGGCCTGTTTGATTCTCAAGCAAGCAGACAAGCAGTTGTGTTTATAGAGTAGGCTTTCCTTTCACTCGTTAGATTACAATCTTTTTTTTTTTTTGGGTTCATTTAAGTTCTTGGCATAGTCTTTTGTGAAAAAATTCTAACCTTGTATAGATTTTTTCTTTTTTCAGTGAAAGTTTGTTGCTTATGCCATAAACTCTTTTTTTTAATCAAGTATGAGTAATGGAAATTTAAAAATTCTATAGCTAAGTTTTTTATTTTATTTTATTTTTATTTTTCTAATTCTATAGCTAAGTTGAGTTTTGTAAAAATGAGTATGTTATGATGTATGTATGAAAATTTTTTGAAAGGCTAAATTAATGCTTGATTATATTAGAGGATTAGTTGGAGTTGTGAGCTAAGATTATGAAAAGAAATAGTTGGATTGGCCCAGTATAAAAAATGTTTGAAATGTACTATTTGACTTGTATGTGAAATTAAAACCAGAGAAAGTTAAACATCAACGTATTATTTTGTATTAAAAAATTGTACAATCCAAATACACAAAATGAGCTACAAACAATACAGAACAATCAACATTTATGAAAGTCTATCAAAGAAGAATGAATAAACATACGCCACATACAACAACATTGTTTTGGCAACATAAATAATATAGGTGCACATGTGTAATAAAGTGTTAGTCTAGTATTTTCTTTTATTTGTTTTTGGTAGATCAGGTCTATAGTAACTTATTGGTCTACTAGACATTATAAATACCTCTCTACTTTTAAACAAAACGATTGTGGAATAGAATTTTTGGTTTCCTCCTTTCTTCTCATATCTCTTATCTTTCTTTGTGAGTTCACACCTACTCAAGTGTCTAATCTTTTTGATCCTTCAAGAAGTTTTTCAAATGGTGCTTTCATTGCACTAAACTCACATCCCCACCTCCTCTTCCTGCTGTTCATCAGTCTCCACCCGTCATCCACAAGCAGCTCTCTTCAGCAGATTTCAGCCGCAAGAACCTGTCTTTTCCAATCTCATTCAGCCTCAACAGGTCTTCCTCGTTCACAGGATTCCAACAGGACACTTCCGCAGCTAAGGAAGCCTTCGCCCAGGACTCCCACCTCCGCAAGATTCAGCCGCTGGTTTCAGGACAGCTTCAAGAACTGCTGCCAGCAGCTAATCAGTCCAAAAAAAAACTGCTGTTCTTCTTCCACTCCAACAGCAACAGAAGCAACCTGTTGTTCTTCTTCTACTCCATGGGTCAGCCTTCAACTGCAGCCCTCTGTAGAAATCAGCCGCCAGAACCTATCCCCAGCCACCTCTTGTCTGGGTGCCATCTTTTCTGATCCTCCATCAATCTCACACCATGAAAAACGCAAATTAGCAAAAGCACTACGGACCATGCAAACCAATCAAGAATTACAATTTTCAGAAATCCTAAAATCCCTCCAACAAGCTCATCTCCAATTTGCATCCATTGGTACATCTCTCCATCAATTCCATGCTTTCATAGATTATGTTGACAAATGCCTTGACACCCTATGTAGTGTCCGACCTCACATCTCACCCCATCAAGATTCTAGATCCTCAACTTGCATTCTGGGATTTGGCAACCAAATTTCTTCTCATCACCTATCTCCTACAAATTTTCTATTATTAAAACGATGAAAATTGAACTTCCTCATTTTAATGGGACAAACATAGAAATGTAGATCTTTAAAGCACAAGAATATTATGATTTTTATAATACACCCGAATGTCGTCGTGTTTGCATTTCATCAAACAATTCCTACATTTATTTCAACCTCCATAGGGTCTACCACCATCTCGCACCATTGATCATTGTATTAACCTTCCTTCCTTCATTATCTAAACCTGTTAATATCCGACCTTATCGTTATCCACATTTCTAGAAGGATGCGATTGAACAATTAGTCTCCAAAATTTTTCATGCCGACATTATTCATCATACCCATAGCCCTTTTTTTAGTCCAATTTTACGTGTTAAAAAATGGGATAACACTTGTCATTTTTGTGTTGATTAGAGAACCCTTAATGACTTTAATATTAAAGATAAGTTTCCTATACCTATTGTAGATGAACTTCTAGACAAACTGCATGGAACTACTATCTTTTTAAAACTTGATCTATGTTTAGACTATCAGCAATTGATAATGCACCCTCACGATATTCGTAAAACCGCCTTGTGAACTCATGATGGACATTACGTATCTCTTGTTATGCCTTTTGGGCTAACAAATGCTCTGTCGGAATTTCAAGCATTAATGAATCAAATCTTCTGCTTATTTATTTGCAAATTTGTTATAATCTTTTTTGACAATATCTTGATATGCGGCCCCACTCTCAAATTTCATGTTGATCACCTTACTCTAGTTTTTCAATGCTTACAAACACATCATCTTTTTCTAAAACTTAATAAATATCAATTTTGTCAATCTTCCATCAAATACATGGGTCATATTGTCTTTACGGGATGCGTCCAGCTTGACCTTACTAAAATTACATATAACAAATTGTTCTCCCTCCGCTTTACACCTCCTGTGTTCATTTTTAGGTTTCACGGGCTATTATCACTTATTTATATCTCATTATGCTTATATAGCTGCTCCATTAACCAATCTTCTAAATAAAGATTCCTTCAAATGGAACGAAACAACCTCTATGCTTTTCAAAATCTCAACGTAGGCTATTCCCGTCCAACTTGACAATTGCACCGGTCTTAGCCTTACCTGATTTCACAAAAAGCTTTCATTCTTGAAATAGATGATTCCAACGTAGGCATTGTTGCAATTCTTTTACAAAATAATTATCCCATTCCCTTTTTTAGCAAAAAATTAAGCACAAAAATAATCATCATCTTATCTAAGAGAATTATATGCTATTATTGAAGCTGCTTCCAAACGGCAATAGTATTTGTTAGGTAATGAATTTGTTATTCATACTGATCATCAAAGCTTTCACGAACTTCAAACTCAAGTAATCCAAACACTTGATCAAAATATCATCTTTGCAAGGTTTTAGGATTCAATTTTTCTATCAAATGTAAGATAGGAAAAACAAATATCATCACCGAATCTTTATCTAGGCAACCAGAAAACCATTCGACTTCTCCTTCTTAACTAGCCTTAACAAAATTTTCTTTTCCTAATTAATGACATTATAAAAAAGGGATTTTTACATACATAACACCTAAAACTATTGAAAATACATATTTAACACCTAAACTTCTATATTTACTAATATATCATCTAAAACCCCTCTTTTAATCAATTCTAACATTCCGTTTAAACCTTCCGTCAAAAATCAATAGCAGCGGCAGTCTTCCCCATCAATGGCATCTTATCACAGTGAATACATCATCGCTTCAATGGAGTGGTAGAATAGAAGGAAATGAGGATTTTAGGTTGTATATTAGTAAATATAGAAGTTTAGGTGTTGAATATGTATTTTCAATAGTTTTAGATGTTATGTATGTAAAAATCCCTAAATAAAAAGAATCACTTTACTCTCCATATATTTTTCATATTGCCTCTCAACTTTCTAATTATCAACTCTCTAATACATTTTATCAATTTCATGACCATATTCTTTACTATAAATGTCATATTTACCTCTATAAAGATTGGACCCTTAAAAACAAATCCTCACAGATTGCGGGTTATCAAGGTGTTCTTAAGATGATCAAATGAATTTCTACTAATTTTTATTGGCTTGGTATTCATCAAGATGTTATTGACTTTGTTAGCAAATGTCTTGTCATGAAATCAAGTATTCTACTCCTCTGGTAGGACTTTTATCTCCTCTCTCAATACCTTCGTAAATCTAGGAAGACTTATCTATGGACTTCATAAATGGTCTACTTAAGTCCAAAGGTTATACTGCTATTTTCGTAGTCGTTGATCGCTTATCCAAGTTTGCCCATTTTGGTCCCTTACCATTCAAATATTCTGTTTCTAAAGTTGATGATCTTTTTGCACATATGATAGTTCCCTTACATGATTTTCCCAAAACCATAGTAGTTGATCGAGATTGCATATTTTTAAGTAATTTTTGGCGACAACTCTTCAGTTTAAGTGGTGCCACATTACATTTTAGCTCTTCTTATCACCTACAAATAGTTGGTCAGATAGAGGTTCTCAATCACTGTTTAGAACAACGTCTTTGTATTCATTCTCTACACCTAAGTTATGGTCCTCTTTTCTTTGTTAGGAAGAATTGTCCTATAATACATCATATCATACATCCATTAAAATATCTACATTTCAAGCTCTTTATGGCCGACTTCACCTTCCATTCCTTCCTATATTCGTGGAACCTCTGAACTTCCTGCAATTGATACTAATTTAGAAGATTGGGATACGCTTCTCCAAACTCTATGATAAAACTTACTACAAGCACAAGATCGGAAAAAATATTGCCGAGCGCAACTGCAAGGATTTGCAGTTTTCAAAAGGTGATCTAGTTATGGTTAAATTACGATCATTTCAACAAAATTCTGTCATTGATCATGCCTATTCTAAACTCCTAAGAGATATTGTGGCCCTTTCACAATTCATGGCGTGCTTATCCCAATAGCCTTTTGCCTACAACTACCTCCCGATAGTAAAATTGATTCGACTTTTCATCTCTCTTCTAAAACCTTTTAAAGGTTCCCCTCCATTAACCCCTTCACCACTACCAAATTACAGTTATAATAACCAACCCTTCTTCTACTATATGCTATTCTAGATTAACACATTATACAACTCTGTGGTCAACCCTATTGACAACTCCTATTACAATGGAAATTAAATTTACCCGATAAGGCCACATAGGAAAAAATTTCAGCGCTCTCTTCCTATTTTCTTTCTCTCAACCTTGAGGGCAAGGTTGTTTTCTATGGAGATGAGAGTGTTAAACATCACCATAATATTTTGGATCTGAAAATTGTATTATCAAAATACACGGAATGGGCTAGAAACATGACGGAGCAACTACAAAAGTCTACCAAAGAAGAAGGAATAAACATATGTCACATGAGAACAACATTATTTTGACAGAAAACTAATATGAGTCCACATGTGTAATAAAAGACTAGTCTAGTATTTTCTTTTATTTATTTTAGGTAGATCGGGTTTGTAGTAACTTGTTGGTCTACCTAAAAATTATAAATACCTCTCTACTTGTAAACAAAAGAATTATGGAGTAGAATTTTTTGTTTGCTCCTTTTTTCTCATATCTCTTCTCTTTCTTTAGGAGTTCACACCTAATTTAAAGGTGCCTAATCGTCTTGATCCTTCAAGAAGCTTAACAAAGGGTTACAAAAGAGAATGGGCTAACACAAATTAAAATTAATGCGAAGAGAGTTGTCGTCCAAAATAATTATGATGAATAGGCTGAACGCCTCAAATAGCATTCTAAGATAAGCTAACTATTATGATGATGATCTTTTATTGTCATCATAATATTATTTTTCATTGCTCATATTGCACATGTATGTCTTATCATTGTAATAAGATTTCTTTATCCAAATCGGAGATCATAATTAAGACAAGGCAAAGAGAGAAATTGTTCAAAATAATTTATGAGGAATAAGTTTAACACCTCTAACAACATTCTGGGATTAAGGCTAATTATTATGATGATGATCTCCTATCATCATCATAACATTATTTTTCATTGCTCATACTGCACAAATGCCTTATCATTATAACAATAAGCAAGGATTTCTTTTCCAAAATCAAAGATCATCATTAATATAGAAAAGTTAAATTAATAATTAATTATATTAGAGGATTGGTTGGAGTTGCAAGCTAAATTAATGAAAATAGATAATTGATTTGGACATGTATAACAAATATTAGGAAATGTAACATTTAACTTATAGATAAAATTAGGCTTGAGGATTACAAAAGAGAAGGGGGTAGGCACAAATTAATGCGAAGAGAGAAGCTGTTCGAAATAATTTTTGAGGATTAGGTTCAACACCTCAAACAACATTTTATGATATGACTAATTATTATGTTGATGATCTCCTATTGTCATCATAACATTATTTTTGATTGCTCATATTGAACACACACATCTTATCATTATAACAATAAGTCAGGATTTCCTTACCAAAATCAGAGATCATTATTAATTTAGAAATGTTGCAAGCTAAGGTAATGAAAATAAAAAGTTGGTTTGGACATGTATAACAAATATTAGGAAATGTAACATTTAACTTATAGATAAAATTAATTCCTGAGGGTTATAGAAGTGAAGGGATAGGCACAAATTAATGCGAAGAGAAAAGTTCTTCAAATATATTTTTTTCAGGAATAGGTTTAATACCTCTAACAACATTCTATGATAAGGCTAATTATTATGTTATGTTGATGATCTCCTATTGTCATCATAACATTATTTTTCATTGCTCATATTGCAGACTCACATCTTATCATTATAACAATAAGTAAGGATTTTTTTTTATCAAAATTAGAGATCATCATTAATTTAGAAAGGTTTAAGCTAATGATTGATTATTTTAAAGGTTTGGTTGGAGTTGCATGCTAAGGTAATCAAAATAGATTGTTTGTTTGAACATATATAACAAATATTAGGAAATATGCCATTTTACATATAGAGAAAATTAATTAATGAGGATTACAAAACAGAAGGTGCAGACACAAATTAATGCAAAGAGAGAAGTTGTTCAAAATAATTTATGAGGAATAGGTTCAATGCCTCAAACAACATTCTATGATAAGGCTAACTATTATGTTGATGATTTCCTATTGTCATCATAACAAACAATCATCTATGTGCAATAATTTCGTTCATATTTGTTTTTTTTTTTTTTGAAATATTCTCAATTTATGTTCCTGACATTCCATGGCACTCATCTTATAACTGGATGATGATAGACTGATTGATGCTTTGGTCTAATAGGTTTATTCCGTTCATTTCAAATGCAATAAGAAACTCCTACGCGAATATCCAAATCTGTTCAATTACACCAAAGACATTTACCAGATTCCTGGCATCAGCAGCACCGTTAACCTGGAACACATAAAGAAGCACTACTATGGAAGCCATCCCAGTATTAATCCGCATGGAGTCATTCCAATTGGTTCCAGCACAGATTACTCTGCTTCCCATGACAGAGACAGGTTTAATAATTAACTTTGTTTGAGCTACCATAATTTGGGTTGAGTATAATCCATTTTGGTAAATCTTGCAGAAGAGAGAGAGAGAGAGAGAGAGAGAGAGAGAGAGAGAGAGAGAGAGAGAGAGAGAGAGAGAGAGTGAATGCCATTGTTATGTGTTGAATAGACTGCTTGGATACACAGATAAGCTGCTTCTGGCTGAGTCCATTATGGATGCTGTTAACTGACAAGATGGTATATTTGTCTGTTTATTTGGTGTCCTAATAAAATTATTGCACTTCCTTTGTCCAAATAGTAAAAGGCATAATAAGATGATGATTACAAATCCTTCTTTGCCATAGAATTCCAACGAATATTGTACTTAGTGTTAGTTCTAGCAAGTCCTAATTGTTAGAAGTAGATCACTCAATTTTGACTGTGTTTATGTACTAGGATTTAGTAAGACAAGCTTGAAATGCTGATTTTCTTTAGAACTATCAAATTTTTTTCTTCTCTTTGATGGTTTGGCATCTTATATGAGGTTCCTTCTCATATGCGTCAAGTTACAATTTCTACATTCAATGATCTTATACTAAAGAAACAGTGCCAAACCCAAGAAGAGAGCACCTCTTGATTTTGGTAGATTTTATGCCATAAAGTTCTCTAAGATTTTTTAGTGATTGTTTGCCAAAAGATTTATGGAAAATTTTAAGGGATTTACTGGTTAGTTATGCCTTTTGAAAATTGCTTGCTATTTTATAGTGAGGAAGGAACATATTAACATGCTTTATGTTAAAAGGTGGTAACTTCTTCATTAAGATCTCATCCTCTGTTGTTAATAGACTGGTAAGTACGGGTTTTAATTTTGGGTATGGGTCGGATTTCGGTCGAATCTGAAATTGACTCGGCATTAGTCGGGTCAATCCAAACCCGACCCATTTTTGCAAACGGGTCAATTTTTTGGACTCGAGCTTGACCCGCTTCAAGTCCTGGTCAACCCGACACGACCCGAATGATCCGGGGCAGTAAAAAAATTGCTAGCTTTCAGGTCAAAAAATGGGTCAATCTCCACTTTTTGGGTAAAAAATGGGTCAAAAATGAATTTCCGGATTAAAAATGGGGTTTTGGGTCAAAACGGGTCAATGTCAAACTGTCAATCGAATCCGACCTAATTTTTGAAACGGGTCAAATTGTTGAACCCAAACCCGACTTGTTTTGGGTTCGAGTTGATCATAACCTAGAATTTTTGACTCAGATTCGAGTCGTGTTTTCGGGACGTCCTACTAGTATGGTCTCTTGTGTTGCTCTTGGCATGTACTAATTTGCTATGCAAGCCTCATATTCCTATTTCTTTTTGGCTTTTCTCCTAAGCCTAGAAATTGAGGTTGCTCTCAAAACTTGTCTACTTGTTGGTGGTTTGATAATTGGTACAACTAATATATCTTCATTATGGAAAATTTTCTAGGTGAGAAGGTTCACTAAGGACCAAAGGCCAAACATGAAGAAACATACTAGCTTGTGCTACAAAAGCATTATTGAACAATCTACAACCTTTCGTTTATGGAAGGCATATGAGATTGGCCTCCATAGGTGTTGGATTATTCAAGATAATTCTCAAATAACAAAAAGAGAAACTACCATATTGCATCGCAAAACTAATTGCTCCAATTGTTATCATGAGAAAAAGAAAATTCACCTTTGGGCTATGTGCAGCTCAATAACTATCCACTTGTTCAACATTGAATTCATATAATCACATCATTTGAACAATTTTATAGTGCAGAGGAAATGATAATAATTCAGGTAAATCAAGAAAAAGTCAAGTGCTAAAAAAAAAGAAAGATATGTGCAATAGAGTGTAATAGAAACTTACATTCATCAACTCATGAAATTAAAAGAACAAAAATAAACTTTTAAAATGATAAAATTTCATTATGTTCTATGGGCTCCAAAAATTCACGCTCGGCCTCTCTGTAGCCCCTTTTCATTTTTTGGTCGTCAAGGAGAGTTTTAACAAGTATGTTCTAAGAAAAATTTTCAAAAAACAGATTGGGTTTTTATTAAGACATTACCTATAGATTTCTCCCTCATCTCATGAGGACTTTATGATCTGTGTTCAAGTTTCCTATAGGCGCAAACCACTGTAGTTAATTACCCCTTTTGATAGTGAGAGAGAACTTTCAATTAAGGTTAGTCATCAAATAGATACATAGTATCCAATGTATAATAACTGCATATTTAGGTATTTAAAATTTAACATTTGAAATTAAAAATTCGCTGACATGCACTTAAAGTGGATGCTAGGTGGAATGATGATAGAACCGATAAATATCCCATGGTTTCGCCGTCCCGAATCATCATGGTATATAGTCTACTTAGTTAGAAGAGTTAGTAGAACCAACTTGACTTAAGGATTTTGTCGACCATGGATTGCTTCTTAGCTAATAAAGAGCTTTGTGACCATATCTTATTGATTCATTACTCAAATATTTAATGTTGTTAGTGAACATACGGGCTCCGACCATGACAGTAAGTGTCATTTAGTGGCAAAACTACCTGATCAGAGGGTTGCAATCATAACCATTTACCTCTAGTACAATTTGATGGAAAAATCACTGGTTAGAGGACACGTTCAACATCCTTACTAGTAAGAAATGAATTAAGAATGAATCATAGTGATATTCTCAATTAGACATTTATTCTTTGTAAGCTTAAGTGATTTTCAAGCGTGTCCACCTCGACAAGCTATTGTAGAGGGTGGATAGGCATTTGCTTTAAGTATTTTTGGCATTTTAATTTTAAACATTAATATCATTCATGAATATGTTAAAGTTAATTGAATGTATTTTATGAGAATTTGGAGGCATTTTGAATGTTTGGACTCCCCCCAATTGAGATTTTTTATCAACACAACAATCATCAGAGATTTATGAAAAATCTTACTTTATTGGTTGTACCTTATTGACCTTACCTACTTATCAATGGAGGATCAGGTCTATCATTGACTTTATGCCTTTATTAATAAATATTTTTTGTAATAGACTTTGATGGCCTAATATTTATGTAATAAACAAATACTTTGGCTAGCATTATGACCATATATTCATTCGACGATTCAAGCCGTGTCGACTCTATCTATTCATCGATAAAGGATCAGACTTTAACTAAAGTTCATTTCTTGAGCCGCGCAACATCCTCAGATGTCACGTGTGTGCATATCATACTCGTCGAGTCCCATTCGAGTATTTAATTGCATGTAATAATATATGCTATAATATATATTTACATCTTGCATGATATGTTTGATACGTTGTGTAGTAGCTTAATATAGTGGATTTGTATGATATGAATGTGTATTACATTTGTTTATTGCTTATTTTCTTGCATAATGCATTAACATGATAATTTAGTGCATGCATATAGTAAATGATATGTTTGCATGTCAACATAGTATACTGCCACTACATAGTGTTATATAATATGCTTGCATGATGTGTTTTGTGTTTTGCAACATTTATATGCATGATGTGAATGCATTAACATGCATTTCAATGGATGAGGGTGCTTTTACAATATTCAAATATAATCAATTGCAAAATTCTATTTAAAAAAGCCTGCAAATATCTTAAATCTGCTTATACATATGTTGCGGTTTCGGTGGCATGACACTAATTGTAATATCAAAATCTGCTCCAGGATCGTCCAGGACGATCTGGGATCGTCCTGGGACGATCCTGGAGCAGATTTTGATATTACAATTAGTGTCATGCCACCGAAACCGCAACATATGTATAAGCAGATTTAAGATATTTGCAGGCTTTTTTAAATAGAATTTTGCAATTGATTATATTTGAATATTGTAAAAGCACCCTCATCCATTGAAATGCATGTTAATGCATTCACATCATGCATATAAATGTTGCAAAACACAAAACACATCATGCAAGCATATTATATAACACTATGTAGTGGCAGTATACTATGTTGACATGCAAACATATCATTTACTATATGCATGCACTAAATTATCATGTTAATGCATTATGCAAGAAAATAAGCAATAAACAAATGTAATACACATTCATATCATACAAATCCACTATATTAAGCTACTACACAACGTATCAAACATATCATGCAAGATGTAAATATATATTATAGCATATATTATTACATGCAATTAAATACTCGAATGGGACTCGACGAGTATGATATGCACACACGTGACATCTGAGGATGTTGCGCGGCTCAAGAAATGAACTTTAGTTAAAGTCTGATCCTTTATCGATGAATAGATAGAGTCGACACGGCTTGAATCGTCGAATAAATATATGGTCATAATGCTAGCCAAAGTATTTGTTTATTACATAAATATCCGTAGTGATTCTGTTTAGTTTAGTTTAGCTATTAATTAAATATATGATATCTGATTTGATATGATTCTGATTTCCGTATCTGTTCTGTAAGCAAATCTGATTCTGATTTCTGTACGATATGAATCTAATTCTGATCTGTATGATATGATTTCTGATACTATTCTGACACGATTCTGTTCTGTTCCGATATGATTTGAATTCTGAATTCTGTACGATTCTGATTCTGTTGATTTGATATGTCTGATCTGTTCTGTTTCTGATTTGATATGACTTCTGTTTTCGTACAGTTCTGTTTGCTTTGATATCTGTTCCGTTCAGTTCTGTCTGATTTGATCTATTTTGTTCTGATTTGTCCGATTTGATATCTGTCTGATTCTGTTCTGATTTCTGTACGGATTTGTCTGATGTGTTAGTTTTGAGATTCTGAGAATTTTGATTGGTGGTTTGTTGCTTTGCTGAGTTGTTGAGCTCACTCTTGTTTTCTGGTGGTTTTCAGGTTCTGGGAAAGGGAAGAAAGTCCATGATTAGATTTAGAGTCTGATCAGTATAGGTACTGTTTTGTACCTTTTGATTTTTGTACAGTCATGGCTTTTCTGTTCTGTTTCTCTTTCTGTCTAAAAGCCATGTACTGTATTTGTAGATGATTGTTTTGAGGAAAAGAAAAGATAGATGTTTTGTTCCGCTGTGTTTGATGATTCATAGTAGCTCTGTGTCTGTGTGTCTGTTTGAAGTGAAATTATTTGGAAGATTCAGTTCCAAACCAAATTCCATAACCAGATCCTGGTCAGTCAGTTTGTTCGTTTCCGTGCCGCGACCCGGTGCGAGCGGGATCCGTCCCGGATCGGGTCGGGTCGTGACAGAAGGATTGAAGCATTTAGTAGAGATGAATAGAGTAAATCAACTGGGAGTAAAGAAGAAAAGGGATACCATCACCTAAAAGCATTTTATAAATTGAATCCTCCATTA